AGTCGTGCCTCGCGTAGGCCCTATCCTGTCGTAGGGGCTCGCGAGAGGTATGGCTGGCGCACCCGGCCGGAGCGGCCTGTGGAAGCTCCATGTTTATTGCGACGAAGGGTTGCAAAAACCAACTCCTGCGTGACGCGGCCGGGAGGGTCCCGCGCTGCCCCGCGCAGTACCCGACCGATTGCGCCCGACAACGTCTTGATTTATCGGGTGTTTCCTCAACATTAGGTGCTATCAATTTCATTACGACTATTTTTAACATGCGTGGCCCAGGAATGACCATGCATAGATTACCTCTATTTGTTTGGTCTGTGCTAATTACAGCTTTTCTGTTTTTATTGTCACTTCCAGTATTAGCACGTGCTATTACTATGCTATTAACTGATAGAAATTTTAATACCACTTTTTTTGATCCTGCAGGAGGAGGAGATCCTGTTTTATTTCAACATCTGGCCTGCACTTCACTTGCGGAGGCCTTACGATGATAGCAAAGAATGTCAGCGATGCTAGGATTTTTTGTCCGTACCACCGAGTCACCGACTTCTTTCTTATAGATGCCATTAATCATAGGACGGAAGCCCGTACTATCGATCTTAGAATCGCATAACCTCCTCACACCAGCTAGGCTAATCCTATCATCGTATCGTAATCGTGCGATGAGCTTATTACCCAACTTAAAGCCATATCCTAGTCTAATCTCATAGAACAAAATCCGCCTCAGCAACCGTCGAGTAGCTTTCGTAGTAAACTAGTTGACTGCTTCTACGAGTTCGACCAAGAACTTCAAATCTTGAGACCGCAGGGTAGCTCGCTTCTGGCGTTGCTTCAGTATTGAAACCAAGAAGGTGTGATTTCTCTTCGAGTGTTTTTTACATCGTTTTAGGTAGAGTACCTGGATAGAACTCCCTCTTTCCACATATTTCTTAATCTGCCGCAACTGTTTCTGATATCCATCCACCCATACTACAGAGCTTCCACAAACCCTCTTAACATTCTTCCATTTATTACACCACGCATTTCCACCCTCAGAGTTCGACACAAAGCTTCCCATTCCCTTCTCCTCTTTGTTTTTTGTTTTTTTTGTTTTTTTATCAGAACCTCTTGGTTCTGGCTCCTGCCATTCTGGGGAGCAACAGTCCGGTTCCCATTCCCCAGGCAAGTCAATGAATAGTACAAGGTTGACTCACACCACGCTCCTCCCCATTAAGGTTGAGAGGCCCGAGTGGGCGGCATTGATTGCTTCCTTCAAGAAGGATGTACCACCCCTCACCCCTGCCTAAGTTAGCCTATTGCAGCTACGCTTTTTTGTGTGCCTGTTGTGTACCTATTCTGCCCCTGGTTGCTCCTCTCAGCTAGAGGCTGTCGGTTACTGCATGTGTCTTCTCTTGATTGCGTAAGGTCTGAAGAATCTTTTCCGACCGGTCAAATTCATGGTCTAACCTATAACCCTGATCACCCGCAGCTT